ATCTAAATACAGAAATTAATGAATTATGAGTAAAGGGATTTGTTTCACTCCTGTGAATCTGAGCGACACCGACACCTTTCGGACGGACCCAAGCCCATCGGCATCGGCAACGACAACAGGACGAGCAGGACGGGCAGGACGAGCAGGACCATCCTGCTGTGTCCGTGTGCCCACTTAAGTGGAAGACGACATAAATAGTAAGCATACCTGAGCGTGTGGAGGTTTTAATCGCTTTGATCTTTATATTCCCATTCGGTAATTAATTAAACGAAAGGTTCCCTGTATCCATGCACTAATATGCACTTAAATTTCGTACACACTGCCCCCCGCCCATCCAAAAAAGGGTTCCCATCTCACGCCCCTGGAAGCGGTCAGCTATTTTCCGATTAATTAGTTTCGACCGCGCGAAGGGTCGCACTCCCCGAATCTGCTCTATGCAAATAGTGTCCACTGCCCTGAAACCGGATGTGAGCCATAGGGATCGAACGGTGCGTGCTGCAGACAGCTTTGAAGACACCCCGCCGATTGCCGCACGGCGATTTTGTACTCTAATGGCTATATATTGAATACGGCTTGTGGTGACGCGGGCGGTGGACGTGGCGCGGACGGTGGCACATGCCACTGCACGTGTCCTGTACACTCACGAGGCATGTGTGTATGAGCAGGTCGGGAGCAGGACTTGCAGATCGGGCCACATATCGAGGTTCTGTTGGCCGGCCCTGCTAATTTATTATTGGCACCATTATCGCTTGCGGCGGTGGCTGATTGAAAGGCTCCGTCAGCGTCAGCGCCAGCGGACAAGGACAATGGGCATTGGGCATTGGGCATTGGGCAACGAACGACACGTATGCTATCATCGCATCTGGTGTGTTGTTTAATTAAATTTCTGAAATTAAAATGTTTTGTTTATATAAATTGAAAAATTCAGACACCCACCCACACATGCCGCACACAAGCGCTCTGTTCAAGAATGACCAAAGGAACAAAAAATGTAAGAGCCAGGACTCGCACGCCCCATCGCCACATCGATGCCTGTATACTCTGCATCCTGGCCAGAGCCGCTGGTCCCCAGCCGTTAGCTGCTGAATGGCCGAGGAACTGTGCACCCTTTCAGGACTGACTGGGATAAAGGCCACAGAAGCCACAGAAACCGCAACGATTGCAGGAGCATTTACAGGATGTTTAAGCGTATGCTGCCGCATGTTCTGCAGTCCAAGGTGCCCCAAAAGGAGCTGCCATTCAGAGCACAGCCTTGCAAGTACTTCGATGACAGCCAAGTGGGGCGCATCATTGGCAGTGTATTTCCCGCCGCATGGCAGTTAAATGTTCGAAGGGATGTGCCTGGGAATGGGGATGGGGATGGGGATGGGGATGGACTTCCCCAACGGTGGCCGCCATTGACACTATTGTTCGGCGCTCAAATCGCTGCTGATGGGACACATTCGACATTCAACCTAAAGCCCCACACCGTTCGTGCCATGAGCGTTTTTCAATTGGGCCGGCTACAAGTCAGTCATCCAGCGTTCGAGCCGCATTTATTCATATACTCGTACTCGTTCTCGTACTCGTACTCGTGCGAGCTGCCACATGCCACATGCCGCATGCCACATGCCGCACCGTGCTGGTGTCTCAATGCGTTCGCCGTATCTGGTGTGCCCGTGTGTTTGCACAAGCACTGTCGCTGGCTTTTCAATTTGATTCATTTCATTTCAATTCTGTTTTCCTCGCATTGTTCGGATGCGGCAGGAACCTCGATCGAACTGAACTCGCCGTGTCCTTTTCGCACCGTTTAGTGGGGTAAGCCTGGAGCCCTCGGCTCCAAAATGCCATGCAAAATCGAGAGTTTCTCTCGGTGAAAGCCGTAATAACCATAATTTAGCCACACAATTCCGCCTTCTATGCTCTGCATCAGTTCAATTCTACCAATTCTAATTAGACGCTAATACGCAAAGAAACTTTCTCGCAGCCGAGTTAATGTGGCTGGCTGGCTTTCGATCTGATTACCAGGCCAACACGGAAAAAGCTGGCATCCACTGACCCTGTGTGACCATAAAGCGGATTTATGGCACTGTAAATCAAGAGCTATATTGTCATATTCTAGCATTTCCTAGCCGCCGCCACTGGCTGCGTTTCCACATGTTGCGTGCCGCTTTTTGCTTGAAGAAGCGTTGCCAAAATTCCAGACAATGTCCGGCCTGGACCTTAAATCATTGGGTCACATCTTCCTGTGCAGCGTGGACCGAACTGCAGGACCCGGCGCACTGGAGAGGCGTGGAGAGCCCTGGAGAAGGTAGCCAGGTATCTGGTTTGGTTGCATATGGGTGCTTGCGGCTGGCTTCGGTGACGTGTGCTAATGCAAAGGGCAATTGATAGCCGGAGGTGTGGGTGAATCCGTTTTTCATAATTGACACGTCTCAAAGGATTTTGACAAACAGGAGTGGAGACCCAAGCCATGGAGCTTGTGCAGCTCCTGCTCGGTTACCGGCTACCTGTGTGGCTCATTTGACACTCGAATGAGTCAATGTATATTCGGTGTACATGGCGAGTGGGTCCAATGGGTGAGCAAGTCCTCATGCATAAAACACGGTAACACGGTAACAACAACCACAGAAGCATGAACAAATTAATTTTCGATACCTGATTAAGCAGAACTCATTTGTTCATTTGATCGGTGGGTCCTTGCAGACCCTCAGATTCTGGTCGATTTTGGGCTTTTGGGCCGCCAGCACAGGCTTCAGCTTCAAAATGAAGCGAATCGAAAGGGCAGGCAAATAAACGGAACCATTCTTTTATTAGCAACTTGGCTAAGCCAAAATGCAAACTGTTTGATGACAGCCGGAGCGACAGTTGCTAAACAACCGTGGGTCCCGAGCAGAAACTAAACAAATAGCTAACCCCAGAAAGGATTCATTGCCTCTGCCTCTAATCAACCCTTGTCAGTCAATCATAGTTGAATTATCCACTTTTGCCAGCGCTGGACGAGTTGCTCTTGAGTAGCATCTTGTCCCATTTCACGTCCCACGACCAAGAAAGTAAAAACGGAATTAATTAATTCCGCGGATAGCTGTCGAAGCGCCATTGGTACGGCACTAGGCACAAGGTCTTGTGCTCCAAAGAAGCAAAGAAATCAAAAAAGGGGCTGGCTGATTCTTGGCCAACCAAAGTCAACACCGATGCCCCCAGCCGATGGCTATGACGATGCGTTGCTGAGCTGCCGAACTGATGACGTCTGTGATGAGGATGAAACCGTGTTCAATTGCCGGGAAACTCTTTGGTTTCCGACTCACTGCTGTCCAAACATGCGAGCTGGCCTCACCAGGAGCACATATGGGGCTCGACTGGGTGTGTAACCAGAGTGATGTGGTGGTGGACAAACTCGTAGACGTCAGGCTGTGCCAAAGTTTAGCAACTGGAATCGCTTTTGAATCGGCATCGGGCGCAGCACGTTGGGAGACCTATACACTTCCTATGCCAATCAAGGAGCCCGCTGGACGAAGGTTACACTGGGACCACTGGGACCACTGAACAACTGGACAACTGGACAGCCCCGCAAAGCGCCTTCCCTGTCGGACATCGTGCATTGCCTCAAATTTCCGTTCTTTTAAATCCATTTCGATGGATGTAGGTCCACGTCCACGTCCACGTCCACACGCACATGGACACCCAACCTCTCATCGGAGGGTGGCTGTGATTCAGAGCCCTTTCATTCCAATTCTCTGCATGCAGATAAGCTCTTCGCACACACCCGTTAATTCCGTTAAACAAATGTCACTCGCCAAACAAGTCCGGCTGCCATCAAACGCCCGTCAATCACCGCAGACAATGCAATCCCGTCCAAGCAACCGTCCGGAACATGAGGACGTGGCCCAATGGGCGCGGCTTTCTTAAACTCAATTATTGGCCACAAAAAGAACGCTTGCAAGGCGCAGAGCGACATGGACGATCAACTGGCCGAAATGCCAGCATAAAATTCGACATTATATAACTGCAAGTCAGTTCATTTTTAATTAACTTCGGAACTGGTCTTTCGATTTCAATAAATTTTAAGCTTACTGCCACTTTTTTGTTAAAACTACTCATATGTGCCTATGACTAATCTACATATATGTTTGATATCCAAGTTAAAGCAAGTTTTTAAAAATGTTCGATGGTCTTTGAACAATCAGTTACTTCAGACAGTAAGTCTTAACTTATGTATATGTATATCTGCGGCCCGAACTGATTGGCCTGTTTAAGGTATATGTGCAAAATTTAAGGTTTTGGAACAGGCCGAACCTGGGCAGATATCTTTGGACTATGTCGGAAGATACACAATCATAAGGGAGGTACATATGTACATACCCAATGTGTAATATCATTGTTTGCCATAGGACAAGAGAGGTTTGCATCCTGTGAACCTTGGTCGAGGAGCAGGCGGCAACCCTTTTGGCTTAAGAAATGCCGGATTCAATGCCCGAGTTGTTTTATATGCGGCATTTCTTCGCACATATAAGTTAACTATGCTAAGCACAGCAAACTAGTTTAAACAACGAGTGCTTTGAAGGCCCATGGAAAAGTGAGCGAGGACTCAACCCCGGTGCAGCACCTCGCTAAAAGCTGCACCACATTTTCGTGCCACATTATGAAGCGCTAAAATTGTGTTCATTTGAAATTTCCGTAATCGAAGCGAACTAGCAGCATGAGAAGACAATGCTACAGAAAATAAAGTCAAATAAAGTCAATAGATAGACTATGGCCATCCATATTTGCGTCATGTTCGGGGTTCGTGCTCTATGGCCATATTTTCCGATATTGGTTTGACGTGAAAAGAAGCACCTCTACGTGGTCATGTGCCAAACGAGCTGATCCAAGCTGTAGATAGCCGTACAAGCAATTGCATAAGTTGCAACCTAGTGAGTCAGGGAATGAATCCTTCAGCCGCATCCGCTAGCACCTGGCAGCACTTAGTTAAGACAACTAGCTAGGATAGGGAACCGCTGGCCCTCAGTCCGCCAGATTTATTAGTCCTCCGATATTGTGTAGGTCAAGAAGAACTTGGGCTGCTTCGGGATTGCGCCCTTCGAGGTGGCAGTAGTTGGCTTGTTGGAGCCGCTCTCCTCCTTTAGACTCTGCACATGCTGCATCTGCATGGGCATCGGATGCTGAACCTTCGGGTGGCGTTGGGTTGGCTTGCGGCGGTTCACCGAGTAGCGGCGGTTCGGAGCTGGCTTCGGTGGCTCATCCGGGACGTCATGTTGCATGGAGTTATCACGACCCGGACGCGCCATTGGTGGGATGGGAGTGCCTAGTTGGGAGTAATTACCTTTCAGCCAGAGCTCCTTGATTTCGGCATAGGTCTGATAGTGGCCCACCCGAGTTGGCTGAATCAGGTGGGGATAGTACTTCAGGTTGCTGGCGAAGTACGGCTCATTCGCATTGGAGGCCACAGCGTTCTCTGGTTTCACGGTCATGCTGGCAAATTGACGGGCCAGCTCCTCGGTGGCTCGATCGGAACCGCTCAGTCGCGAACACATGGCAGCCATCTTTCTCTTCCGGCTGGGCTTCGCAGGAACCTGGGGCTCCGCCACTGCAAGAAAGTCTCCCCAACCAGATTGCACCGGCTTGGAGGAACTCAGCAAGGACGATTCGAACTTCTTGTTAATCTTCAAGGAAACACAATTTTACGCAAGACGCAAACAGACGCCCAATTTTGCACTCAACCTACCCAAATGCTGGTCTGTAGATTCTTCTCCGTTTTGGGCTTCATTATGAGTTGGTGCAATCTAGTTATTTAGGTTAAGAAACAATTGACTGGTGACTGGTTGTCGTTCTCAATCGAAATGACTAGTCCTTTTGGCTCGTCAAAATAATGTACTTTCAAGTTGACGTTTCAGGCGCAGTGTTCTTAGCAGGATTGCCATTTCAGTGGCCAACCCTACAGTGCTCTGTACAATCAGTAGGAAGGCAACCCTACTCGATAGATGGTTATGTTGACATGGCCCAAAGCAACTTAACTTTATCGAGAAGTGCTTGTTTACTGTGCTTGCAGTTCTAGTCGGAAGTTGAAGAGTATAAGATATAGAAGACAAGAGAAGAAGGATACAAATATCGAATTAGATATTCGATCGTCAGCTTTCATATTGTTTATATGTATGTATATGCAGCCTTCATTGATCCGCTGTCCAAAGCTTTTTTGTCAGTGACTTTTCTCCTTGCAAGCGAATCTCGAACAGATGAGTTCTTGAGTTTGGGTTTGGGTTAAGCCCCGCGGGCTAAGCAATCCCAAAAAGTGGGCCAGTGAGTTTGTGTGCAGGATTTGTGGCACGGCGCAAAAACAAGTTTGCAATCTCGCATTGACCAACCTAAAAAATATGACACAGTGACACCAAAGATGCGTAACGCCATACGATTTATTTGAACACGATTTTTCGTGCTGGCTCCAGGCTCTCTCTTGTTGTTCAAGAGCCAGAGAGAGAGCGCTCTAGAGCCAGCAGCTCTCTTGTACGCACACAGCGACAGCCGATCCCTGTATGTGTGCAGACATACATATATCATTTATTGTAAATTTGACAAAATATGCCCTTCACTTCAGAAGTTTATGTACTTTCAATCTATATTATTTGTACACGATGGCCACCAAGTAAAAACTCTAATTTTGCATTATTTAAATAAATCATAATATAATAATTCCTAATTAATTTCAAAGACTACTTTATACTAGAAAATATGTCGTTAGAGTATGCAGCCCGCGAGGTGGAAAATATATTTGAAGTTAGTGATTCTTAGGTGCGCTGGTCCTGCCTCAATAATTCAATTTTGCAATATACAGGTTGCATATAAAGTTTTTTAACTATTTAGTATATTTATTGGTACAAATAACTAGTATACAAGTAAAAAATATGCATTCTTATGTAAATGATCAATTTTAAGTATTTGAAATGCAAATATTACTGTGTTGAATGTTTTTGTTATATTCTAATTTGATGTTTTTAAAAACCTCGCAATTTTGGGTGGTTAAAAAGTAGCTTAATAGTGCAAAACCAAAGACACTAGAATAATTCTAGAATTTGGTATTCTAGGTTTCTAGGTTATTGGTATGGCCGTTACGCATCTTATTATTCTAGTGTCTTTGGTGACACCAATTCCCTTGTTTACATACGCTGTTTCCATCTCTTGAGTCATTTTGGGTTTTATTATTATTGGTGTATTTACTTAAATTTGCGAGGTTATTTCATGTCTGGTATGAAAAATAGGCTAAATGGCTATGGTATTTGCCTTTTTTATATCAATACGAGTATAAACATGCATATCTGTCATCCGCCCCATTGGCTTCTTAAGAACTAGCAGGCCCAATTATAACCACGTATTCACGATCCATTCTTGTTGAGCGCCAAACAGTCAAGTTCGCAACTGAAAAAGCTACTACTAAAGCTCACTAGCCAAGTCATACGCCCCGTGGCCAGTGATTTAAGGGTATTGGCTGAACAGTGTCCTAACATAATAGATAATATCCATCTGTGGTGTTAAACCAACTTGCTGCAGCAAAGATAAGACTGCTTTAAACCATACCATGTTCACAAAAGTCGGGCCCACCTATTGCAAACGAAAGGTTTATACCTTATACAAATTTCCCAACAAACATTTTGGAACTGAACGTTTTTTTAGCCTGTCTGTTACAGTGGGTCTGGGGCAAATAGCACGCCAATAAAACCGAAGATGTGGGCAGGTAAAACCCGGCAGAAGTCCACCAGACACGCGTCAGCTTGTCCTGGAAAATCGCTTGGATTGTCCTTAAGTCAGGTCGCCTTCGGGTCGTGCCTAACTACCTGATAACGATGTCCGGCCCGTTATCGGTCACAATGTGTTTTTAATCTCTTCTCGAAGGTCCTGCCAGACCTGCGTCCTTATAAAGACCCTTATGTGCGGGCGTCGAGGATCAGTTGACTTTTTGAAGTGGTGAGAAAAGGACTTGACTCTTCAGCGGTGAAGAAATATTTAAGGATAATATCAGTACAGTGAACGAGTTTCATTTTAAGCTATCATTTCGGAGACTACGAAAGATTGTCCCAAAGATTGATGTACCTTAGGTAAGATTTCATAGTTTTATATTTATATCATTACGCATTGTTCTGCGACGTGTGGACCACTGTGCGCAAACAGCTGTTTGGTGTCGACGCGAACCGCTGATTGAAAGCTTCACAGCTCAGTGTCGCGCTGATAGTGGCCGCTGATAGAAAGAGATGGCACTAGCTGGGGGGATAAGGACAGCAGCATCAACACCGGGCTCCGTGACCAGATGATGACACTCGAATTGGGTTAGGCGCAATTTGCGAACCTTATTCCAAATACGAGGCATGCGTCAGCGTGCGCGCGCTTTTCTTTGTTCTGCGAATGCGACGTCGACTGGGGCAGCGAAAGCACTGATACGAAATACCTAGTATCTCGCTGGGCAGCAGGGCGTATTTGTTCGGCGAATAGGCAACACACGCTGTCCCAAAGACAGTGATTCTCCGACGCAACATATGATTTGCACGTAATCTCCGTGGCGGTTCGACTCGTATGCAGCGGCCTGTAGGAAGAGGTACCCGATAGTCGGGACCCAAGGCGCGCTCCGTGCTCACGCTGCTCTCCTGCGCATTTGAACTCTTTGGCGCTGATATATTCTTGGAATTATGCACAAAGACTATAGACTATATGGCACTTGCATACAGCGACTGACTGGCTGCGGGTTCATTCCGTTCGGCAATCAAGAGAGAGAGCGCTGCCTGCTGCCTGCTGCCTGCTGCCTTCTGGCGGCTGCGGCGTTGGCAGAGCCAGAAGCGGCAGCCACATTTGCTGCCAGTCCATTTTTGAGCTCCAATCATACGCGGGCACTGTGTTGTTGTTGGTCCAAGCAGTTGGGCGGTGCGGTAGTAGCCTTGTTATTAGCCGTTCTATACTTGTTAATAATAAGAGTAATTTAGACAAGTTGCGCGTGCAGTGTGCTGTGCTAGCGAAAGTAGATTCAGTGTGCAGATGACTGGCAAAATAGCGAGTTCCCAATTTGGTGCCAATTTCTCAGTTTTCTTGGCCCGGGATTTACTTTCGAGTGCTGCGTAGATCACACGAAGTGACGTCCAACGGAAAATATACACACGACTTCTTTGCTTTTCCGCGTGGTTAATGTGCTTATTTTTTGTGTGAGTGCCCAGAAAATAGCTCCAAGCTATGCGAGTACTGCTGATGCAACCAGAAAAGAAAGTGATGCAAACAGAACCAAAAGTGGCAGCCAAACACGAAACTGTCCTTGGGAGTAACAAGGCTTCCACAGCTCCACATGTTGCAGCTAAAGGAGCAGCATCAGTGCAACTGGCAGCAGGAGAAGCAGTAAGCAGCAAGAAAACAAACACGGCAGACGCAACATCAGCAGTTTGAGCAATAAAGGCACACACGAACAAAGCTGTGTGCAACTGCAACAGACAGTGCAACATGCTGCTGGCGGCAACCGGAAGCCAGGAGAACATGCCACCGCCCTCCGGAGCAGCAATCAAGCGAAAGACCGATCCAGAGCAACATCAGCAACGCAAGCAGCACAGGAGCAACATCCTCGGTTGCAACAACAGCAGCAGCAGCAGCAGCAGCAGCAGCAGCTGTAGCATCAACGGCGACAATCGACAACAGCAGAGGCAGCAGGGCAAAATGTATTACAATTCCAATTCGCGACCCTTTTGGAGGAAATGCAGATCGGCTGCCCCACCGAATCTCGTGGCCACAATCCCCACTAACAACGACTTGTTCAAAGCAGCAGCAGCGGCAGCAGCAGCAGCAGCAGCAACAGCAACATGTGAGTTTGTGATTTTTTGCCTCTTTGCTTTGCGCTGCTTTTTGTTATGATGCGGCTGGCTTAATCGCACGCCACACGTTTCGGGTGTACGTTCAAAAACAGCTGTGCGCACTTGCAGCAGTCAGCTGATTGCCAGCCCCATACGCACAGTGGAGCAAAGCAGCCACACAAAGCAGCCACATATCGCAGCCACACACGCACACACACACACAGCACATCCATCGGGGTTGGAGGTTTCATTTTTAAAATATTCATTACAGTCATTTGTTTGCTCCATCTACGACTGAGATTTCCAGCCTGTCACACACAACAAATTCCTGCGCCAAATGTATGCAAAGTGCTTTGTGCCCATGCATTGATGACTACCGTGGTATTGTTCGCCATTTGACAAAACTTATTTGAATAAAATGTGTTCTTATCGAGCGCAATTAGTTGGCTTATCGCCGAGACCTGAGGAATGTTGCAGTTCGACACTGACAGCAATTCGAACTAAGGAGTCTTGAATTCCAGGCACTTATTGCCTCCCATTGAAAGTCGTCGCAGTGTGGTACCACTGTAGCGCCGACCAGGGTTTTCAGGGCAAATGCAAAGTGCTAAACTTGACCGGTCAAGGATGCTGCGGAGGAAAATAAAACATCACCATCATCAGCATCTTCATCATCATCATCGCGGCCTTTGTTGTTGTCGCTGTGAACGTCATGATGATCACATGCAATAAATGCGCCGGCAACAACAATGAAATCAACAACAATCACAAAGGAGCGAGGGAGAGGCAACGCACTCGCGAGGTCAAAGTACGTCAATGAACTTCGTCGCCGAAAGAAAAGTTTGTTTTCGAGGTTGAATTTAATGGCAGGAGAAATGGCGAGTTTTGTTCGGCTACTGTTATTTGGCTTTGGTTTTGTTTTTGCTTTTGCTTTTGTTTCTGGTTTCCTTTTTTTTTTTAGATTTTTCGATTTTTTGGCAATGGCATTGGCATTGGCACAAACATCAGCAGTTTCTACTTAGCGCCCCATATCGAAAGCTCGCAAAATTAAATAAACAATAGGTTCAATGCACCTAAGTCGCAGTAGAATTCAGTTTGAGAAAGCTCCCCTGATATCTGCGCCAGCTGCTCACTCGCTTGGCCTTCGGAACTCGGAAACGCAAATCGCATATCGCATCCAATGCACGAGCATTTGTGCTTACTAGCCTCATATTACTTTATGGGATTCACTTAAGGAGCGGCTAGTTTCGCATCCTGGACTACGGACCAAAGCAGCATTAAGTATACCACATGTGTGACATCACATTAAGTATACCACATGTGTGACATCACATCAATTCTGTGCATACTCCCACTAGCTGGGTAACAGGTATCTGATAGTCGAGAACCTCTCTCACTAAAGGCTTACTAAATCGCGTTAAGTATGCCACATGTGTGACTGCTGAAGAGCAAAGCAACTCTTAATGCTCCTAAATAACTCGTATACATATTCTTGCACCCGGAGGATTAACAAACGAAAAGGCAATTAAAATCAAAGCCAATAAAGTCAACTTCCGGACGAGCTGTCAGAGTGCTTCGATTTCCGCATAAATACGCCGCTGCATGCTGCACTTTATCTCAGTGTCATTTGTGGCTTTTATATTGTGTATGTATGTTTTCGGGATCTCTGTGGGTTTTGGGTACCTGGCAGACAGGTGGCTCTCAAGATAAGCGGGGTATGCGATACCCGCCTCCCTTTCGCAAACGTGTTTGCAAGCGGATCGTACACGAAAGTCGGGGCCGTATGCCAAGTGCATATATGTATATATGTCTGGGGATTACTTCCTGTGGCAGATGAACAAAGACGCTGCGAAAAGAGGCGCGCGGCATGGAAGGAAGAGTGCGACAGGCAGGAAGCGACTGCGCGAAAACAATTCGCAGTTGTTCTTAATAATTATTTTTATGGCCCGAGACCATGAGCGCGATTGCCAGGCACATTGCGTGCTGGTGATAATTCGCAATTTATTGATTATTGGGGGACAAGTCGCTTGCAACAGAGAGTGTTCATCATTCAGATGAACAGCCCAACGTCGCGCAATAAAGTTCGAATTTACGCCAAAATAACTATCTAATGGATGTCTGAGTTCGGTGGCTCCAGCCCTGCGACTCGTTGCCTACCCCAATAATTTCCGTTGCAGGTTGGCTGCTGGTGTGTGGTGTGTGGTGGGTGTTCCGTGAGAAGAAAGCTCCGGTTCAACCACCCACAAACACTTGATTCTACAAAGCCACGCGCGCCAATGGATGTTGTTGGTTAGCTGAAAGCGGCCAGCGGAAAGTTCATGCACCTGTGGCAGCACCCGCCCCGCGCCGCCCGCAACGTCCTTGGTGTGCCGCGTTGCAACAGAAGTGGCGCTGTCACTTTCGCTGAGCGGCATGTGCTATATATACCACACGGACGTCGCACACTCTTTGCTCTGTGACCGATTAAAGTGCACACACTCTGCCGCTTGCGAGCAATAATATGCACAATAACAAGTGTATAAACAATAGCTAGAGCAACAATATCGGTTCGTTACACCGATAAGAGCTTTATGGCCATTTTTTCGCTTTTTGAAAGTTCAAAGTTTCCTTTGGCGGCGCGCTGAACGAGGGACGTGTTACACTTTCGCCTCATATCGCATGACTTAGTTAAATAATTGCATCGCCATGGATTTGGGACTTTGATTCGATTGACTTGCAAACCATTTGCTTAGCGCTTTAGCTATGAAACTTTACTCATATGGCAAAAATTTGTTTATTTTCAGGTGAGTAAAACCTCCTAATAACGACGAAACACTATATCAAGTATCTCCGAGTAAGTGCCATCATCCTTAAAGATATTGCCCACACAAGGTTTGCGACTTGAAATACTGGCCATAATATACATAACTTGGGCAGAAGTGTGGAAAAAGGCCAAAACCACTCCAAGATTCATTTCGAAATTGCGCATTTGTGGCGAGTCTGGAATTTGAAACGAGCACCATATATTTGTTTATATTCATAACAATATTAATATACAACTTGTTGCGTTTCGAAAACAATTAGCCCCGAAATGCCATTTCGTATAAATTTGGGACTGACGCATAAATTAAATTGGTTTTAGCCGAAAAAAGTTTATCATTTATTCAGAAGCTTAACATTACCACGAAATGTGCTATCAAAGTGGAGTCTTATGAATATGAAAAGATTGTTTCTTTGGGATTGATATCTTGGAATAGAAAAGCAAGTACTGATTGTTTCTGGAACTTGTTTAATTCAGCAATGCTGATTACTCTTTTGAAACGTTTCTTAACGAAAAATAAATTAATGAAGGAAGTTATGTAAGCCAAGCAAAGCTTGGAGGTGTTGATTCAGATTTTGGGGTTTTGCCAGGATAGAAATATTATTTTTCGCGGTGTATCAGAGAGGTCGACAACACCTTCAACCGCCGGTGGGGTGGCAAGTGGGAAGCCCTCAGAAAAAACATAGTGGGGTGTCTCTAGTGAGCGGGGAACCAGGTTCAATGGCCAAACCCCAAAACACACAAACCAGAAAGCTGAAAGCAGAAAGCAATAAGCCAAAACTCACTCGGCCAGATGGGAGGCAAATGGAATCGAGACAGACGCCAACAGCCCCAAGTTCAATGTTGTATGCTATACGGGGTCTATATAGTATATAGAACCGTGTGCATACCACATATATTGGGGGTTGTGCAAGGCAAGGCGGCACTCCGCACTCCGAGTCATTAACATCGGCCGAAGTTCGGACAACAAATGATTCGTTGAACCCAGGGAACCGATAGAAAGTGTGGGAGGGGAGGCCCAGACAGAGTTGGCCAACACAATTGCCTTTTTCTGGAGTGATGAAGCAGCCCCCTGAAATGGCACCTCGTGATTTCACATAATAATTTGCCAAGGACACGTGTTTTGTTTCTCAAACAAAGACTCTGATATTTTATGTAGATAGGAATTATCGCAGTGGGTGTGGCAATTACAGAAATGCGCTTCATAAATACGTTTGCGCAAAAAAAAATCAGTTTCCTTCTTTAAGCTGGCTTGGTTAATGGCAATATAAATACTTATGTGTAGATTCTGTTTTGAGCCAAGACTTCCTTTCAAGCTCCCTTAGACGCTCACATGTAGGTGAACTAGTTTCCATTAGATTTAATGAGTTCTAATGTGGTATACCCGCTGTCAGTCACCGCGCACACTTATCCATCCATCAATAATGGAAGCGATTCCCACCGATGAAATTGATAAACTTTTCTGGCTGACGTGGCCCAAAGCTAAGAGTTATTACATTAGGGGGTTGCTACGCATATTTGATAGGATCACCCAATACACAGGGGATCGAGCGTTTTCCTAACCACGTCAATGGCAATTCGCTGACGCAGTTGGTGGCAAGTTCATATGTGTCTGGAGGTAGTAGTTTGGGCCGACATGGGGCAAGCTGGTAGGTAGTGGAGATTCGATGAGTGGGTAAGGTTAGCTGCAGACAACAAGTGAAATACGTGCAGTAGAAGCGCAGTTTAGTCGTACGTGTTTATTCGGGGAATTCTAACCCCATGCATTTGGCGTGCTCAATACAATTGTATACACTTTTTGAGCGGTGCAACTGCAAGGTATGCTTAGTCTTAAATTGCGCTGAAAAGAAATAGTCGTTATAGTTATATTTGTTCTAAAAATATATTCATTTAATGCAGAGACTCAAGCAAAAAACGATGCAGGAGATTTAGCATCGTTCACAGCCGAACAGAAGTGGCTCACGTGCTTTTTCGGTCGCACAGTGGATTAATCTCCATAAATCGAAACTTTTATTACAGCTGAAAACTCTCCTTGGCAACAAGGCAACAAGCTTGGTTATAAATATCTCTGTTGAAAAGTTATTGATATCGGAGAAGTTAAAAATGTATTGCTAATGGACTTGCTATATAAATTAAGGAGGAAATGTATTTGTTAAGTCCGCTGTATATTGCCCACTGTGCGATCGCGACCGCGTGCTTTTCTGGTGAGAGAGAATGGGAGACTGCTCCACTTTCTACACTCGGCGAAAAAACATGTGTATTGTCATGAATTCAATAGGGTCATATTTAGATATCACACTTGAAACCAACGGTGCGGATGATTAATATTTTCCTGCAATTGCTGGAAACATATTTATTTTCGAATTTAAAAGAGTCGTAAATATGTTAGGATGCTCTCAATTTTGAGTTTACATTGTTGCAATTTGCAACACGACTGTGAGTGATTCATGAAGAGAAGTGCACTAGGAGAGAGTGAGATTGAGTGGAGAGCGATTTTCGCAGTCGTGTTGAGCGAATTCCGAATGGCATGCCAAAAGACCCGTTTCTTTCGGTGTAAGAGTTTTGGCGCTCTCTTCTCTCCACTCTCTTTTCGCTGCGGCGTCGACGTCGTTCACTCGAATTTCGTTTCATTCATTTTCATTCGACGATTCGCCGTCGCCGCACACGCAGGTTATTCGCTGCGCGCTCCGCCGACAAAATAAACCGAAAAATAAATCAAACAAAGTGTTTTTCCCACGACGCGAGTTTTCCGCGGCGGTTTTTGGCCGATTTGACTTTTGGATTTTCACCAGTTTAACTTAGCTTTTCCGTTCAAGAGTTCGGGGCGTTCTTGCGTTCCTGGCCACCGATGCAAATCAATTACGCCAGATTTGCAGTGCAAAACAATGGCGTTATTTGTGCAACAACAATTACTAAAACAACGGCGGCAACAACAGCAAAATCAGCAAGAGCGAAAAAAACAACAACAAAGGCAAAGGAGCAGACAGCGCAGGACATTCAGTTAGTTCCCCGTAAGGATACGGCTCAACTGCTTGTGTGCAAAAAAAGAAATATATCCCTACAAATTACAAACAAGAACTAAAAAAAGTGGCCGAAATCTGAGATAAAAGAAGATACACAGCGCAACTTGAACCGCAATAGGAAATCGCTACAGTTGCACCTGCGCAAAGAATTGTCATCAAATCGATATCCGAACGCTATTCTATTTTCTTAGCTTTTTTTTGAGTGAATTTCAAAGTGAATATAGAAACATACAAATTAAAATTCAATAATTGAATAATTGAATAATTTACACCGCAATGGAGCAAATAACGAACTACTTCGAGCACATGGATTACGTGTCCTTCGGCGTGGTGGCGCTGCCGTGCGTGGTCATCGCCGTCTACGGATTCCTGCAGGTGGCCAGTGGCCTGGCCAAGTGCAAAAGTAAGTCCCGAACGCCAGGTGTGTTTTACCCCACCTGACTCATAATCAAAAGCGGCTCGCTGACTAAGCCAGATGCCAGATGCCAGTGAGCCGTCGAGATGTGGTACGAAAATAACTCTTAGGTTGCGGAAAGGGACACTTTGGGTACTTAAGCCATCAAGTTGAAATGTGAAACGAATTACGGAGGATAAGTGTACACACAACTTTGGGATTCCTGATACCCAGTGTATACAAAAGTATTGTATTCGATTGCATTGTTTCACAATTTGGCAAATGATTGATCGCTTAAGGGCATTGTTCATCGTAAGTGACACCAAATGAATTTCGCTTTCCTTACGGTTTATGACTCGCTGTCATTGATCAAATTGCCGTGGACAGTAAATGGCATTTAAACGATTTATCTAGATGTGGCTGAGGGTGCCTTGCGACAGAATCGGGGAAGCATTGTAAGCGACAGCAATTGTGTCCAAGCGACCGCAAAGATTTTCCCACTTCACGGCTCAATTAGCCGCAAGTGAAGTACACTTCTCGAAACTGTTATCTAGATTTCTAGAACTCAACCTAATCCACTTTCGGCTGAGAAATGGAGCAGCATTGGCATTTCCAAAATAGTCTCGGCTCCTCATGATGCTTAATCATATTTGCCTTAAAATGTTTGAGCTAGAAACAGCTGCCGGACTTTCCCACACTCCCCAACCGATGTACATACATATGTACGTGTACATATGTGTGTACGTCCGAAAAGCCGCCTTCCAAAGCTTTCGCCGCTCGAAGTGGGTTTATTAATAGCCACGCCCCCCTCCCGCCCCGCCATAGTTGGGGGTCGTATGGGAACTGGGAACCGGGAAGTGGGAACCTATGGCACTGCCTGACCTACCCCTCGCAGCTGAATGAGTGCCTTGCGGAGGCGATAAGAACTTCAATTGCAATTAATCAGAGTGTTCCTGGGTGGAAATGAGGGCGCGGGGGCAACCCGAAAGATATCGCCGCTCTGGACTTGGACAAGGAAGCAATCGGAATCAAGTTTTTGTGTCAATCTTGATATGATTCGGCTGCGGTCTGGTTTCTTTGTGCGAAAAGTGTGTGTTTTAAAAACCCGATGTTTACATAATAATCCGCCAGTCGCAAAGTCCGCGAGCAACTTTCATTCGGCAAACTAATTTGCATGGAGCTGGGCACGAAAATGACTTTAGGTTGCCTACTTTCTTTTCGGTTGAGAAAGGTCCGCCCTCGGCCATCTGCAATCGGAGATGTGCGAGTATATGTACCACACACATATGGGCCATATACTATATACATATAGTAAACATTTTCCCCCTACTCTGCTGCCTTCCTTAAATTTTATTTGACTTTTTCCCCAGCTATTTTGGGGCCTTCTTGCGAGTGTTTATTTCGCCTTGCTCTTGTTATTGCCGCCCGCCTCCTCTGCAAATTGAGTTCATTTATTTTTACGTGTAGGCAGTAAACGAATTTCAATAAATTACCAGAGATACGAACTGCAACGGGCCAAATTAATCAGTGGCGGAAAGTGGCTGAAATCTTTTCAGTCATTGGACGAATACTGGCGCGGGATTTCTTATATTGTACATTTGTACTGTAAAATGAATACTTCTGGAGCGTTCATTTGTATATTCTTGTTTTAAAACGATCTTTATAACACAATAGGGCGATCTTATGTATCTTTATTTCAGCAGCAGCTTGCAGCCGAGTTCAAGTGCAATGCCTTTTAACTTTTTGAAGAACTTAAGTAATGGTGGATTTCGCTGTGTTTAAATGCCAAAAGACAATTGGCTTTACTTTTTAATTAATAGCTTGCCCGGATTCCGGAGCATTCAGACCGTAGTTATTTAAATTGTTTTTATTTATTTTCCTTTTCCTTGCCCATGACATGCCATTCACATTTCCATTTGGTATGCATAATACACCTCCGTGGCTAATAACGTTGTGTATTATATTTTTCGCGGCTTGAGAATTTGTTGCAGATTTCTGGTCGAGACGCTCAAATCACGAAATCCCGCCGAGGCGTCATTTATAATTGTTTATACTATACATTTTTATTGCCAGATGTGGTGATTGATAGCCCGCCACAAGTTCCAATCAATCACTTAGCGATTGAAGACCACGATAAGGCTAGTTTCAGTGGCTGATATATAGTCTTCCTAGCAATTCAGCGCTCAACTAGGAATCAGCTAAGCTGTAGTTGAAATTAAATACCCGCTTCAGTCGCTATAATATCTATAATATAATATAATAACAAATGCATTTATCACTGTCCAAAATTCTCGATCTTGCTTTAATCCACATACTAATACGTCGTCATAGATCCAAAGTGAACCAATTCAAAAATCCCTTTAGGCTCACATCTGATTTCGAAAGTTTGCACGCAAAGTTTGAGCTTGTGTATGTTTACCATAAGCGTGACAGCAGTTAATCTGCCCGAATTTGTTATACAACAATTTAGGTTTATTAATCTATTAAATTGTGTCAGATGGTGTGCCGCTGTTATTTTTAACACACGCTTTTACCACATCATTTGCGCGACAGAATTTCGGAATTTCGCATTTCGTCCGAGTGTCATCATATGATTTTGATTACGATTATGGTTCTGTGTGTACGTTTTCCTTTTGCGCCGCCACGCTTTTTGCATAATGTTTTTGAACTCTTGTGCTAATTTGTGCTTTGGATCGAGATCACGAATGCGGCACGCCGTCTACGTGGGAAATGATTGAAGTATTCGAGTTCAAGGGTCGTGACATAATAGGGTCCACACAGCCGCAGCTAATTTGCATGCGGCCAAAAGTGAAAAGTCAAAGAAATTTGCTTTTGCTTTCGGTTTTGGTTATTGTTTTTGTTTTTGCTTTTGTTTCTGTTTCTGTTTCTGCCATTCGAAGACCCGAGAAGACCAAGACGTGACATAAGAAAGGTCGTCGCAAAGACCAAGACCCCTGGAGTCGCTCTTCCATTTGCATTTCCAATTCCAATTCCATTTCCAGTTTCTTTTTTCTGTCTGGTGATGGCCAAGTCCAAAGTCAAAGTTGGCCAAAGCGAAAGTTTTCGCCTCGCAGGTTTTTTGTATTTCATTTTTTCGGTCGAACTTCTTATTTAACAGCTTCGTTTTCACTTTGGCTTGTTGTGCTTAGCTGTTTATTTTTCTTGCCGGTTTCTTTTTCATCGGCTTCTGCTGTTTTCGATACGTGCGACAATCCAAAAATGTGCCGAAATGTTTTTGAAACTGATTTTGAAACCGCTGACTCACCCAGCCACAGACGCCGACTGAAATTATGAAATCCCCATCCATCATAATTCCTTTGATTAATGGTCATACTAGCTGTCGTCGATTTTCAGATTTTTATTTTCAGGTGCTTTAATTAGGAGCGAACATTTATTTATCGCGATATTTATACTTTTCCAAAGATCTACAGAAACGGGTGTCATAAATGTTGTTTGAAAATCGTTGGCTGCTTGATTTAGCCATTATCCAAGCCACATTTCCTAATTAACTGTGACCGATCCGCCAAAGAAAACAGCAAACCTACGATGATGCAAGCCAAATGGGGCTTAGACACAGACATTTGTCAAGGGGCCCGTCAGTGGGCACAATCCATAGACCGTCATCCCCACGAAGTAGTAACTCAAATTGCCCGCTGCATTCCGGGTTGCTAACACTTTGCACAACGAAACACAGTTAATTGACAGAGGCAACAATTTGTTGGCTGCTAGTAGTAGGAAAAGCCCCTCTTTTACTAATACTACTACGTTTCTAGGCTTCACTAGCTGCAGATTTGTATAAACGCTAAGGGCTAATTGTTTATTGATCCGAACCGATCGCTCATTCAATCAAAAGTATCTCAAATGCCCAAATTCCGTACATTTTGTATTCAAACATAAACAAAATGAAACACTTGGCGCTAAACAGCACGTTGCTCTCCATCCCCCTGGGACTACGCACCTGATTTACATATAAACACATTTTATTTATGTATATTAATGAATTTATTTGGTTCGCGGTGAGAGGCGAACAGCGGTCTCAGCATTTTATCAAGAAATCGTATTTCAAAGATATCGCACACAGAACTGGGCCTCTATAGTCTTACTTTTAAGGGGTGATTTACGCAGGAAGTGTTGGGCTTTCAGGCTATACATAGGCTGAGGCTGAGGTTATATTCAAAGTAACTAACTAGTGGAAATATTATGTCATTGCTGGTTGCCGTTTGAATGATTAGATGATTGGATGATTGGATGATTGGATTATCGGATCAGCAGTGTCGGCGGTGTCGGCGGTAAGGTTTCGCAGTATTAAAACAGATTTCTATGGGGATATACAATACAATAATAAATACATACCCAGGCCTGTTGGTGTATCTAGCACAATTTATAGATAAAATCTATTCAATTGTTGATCTTAATTTAGAACAACGAGTGGGTTGTGTGATGCTGTGATTTCCTCTCTATAAACTTAGTGTTGGACCCATCATCGCCCCATCTATTTTCCCCACTTCTGATCGCATTCCGCACCAGTTTTCTTACCAAATTTGCACACAAATTTGCCACTTTCGCGTTTCAACAATATTCATTTACCTTTACATATATACGTGTATGAAAGCCTCGAATGACAAGCGTGACGAAACCCAAGAATAAAGCACGAAAACTGCAAAATACAAAATGAATTAGCCAATTGCACAGGCTGTGAGTTGTCATTAATGTTATGCAAGCACTCGTATAACTATCTTATTAAATATATTATTTATTAGTCATAATATCTCTTTTCTTGGTCAACTTATTCAATTTATTTGTCCAAGAGACTTCCTCAGTAGCCGAACTACACTATAATAACCATATAACTACAGTGATTTGCCACAATTACTACCCACTTTCCCACTTTCCCATCGTGCCGCTTAACTTTTAACTCTGCCCTCTAACTTCTTTCCTCGATTTTCCGTCTCTGTGGGCATTTGATTTGTGGACCGATGCGGTTTCACTGCCACAGAGTCTACAAAAGT